AGTTTATGAAGCATTACTTCACCCATTCTGCTTTAGTGCTGAAAAACGTTTATTCGATTGTAATGGCAGGTTACAAGCGAGAGGAGAGATGGGATGTGTCTATTTTATTACTACAGATATTATTTATCTTACTATATTATTCATCCTTTGGTATGTCTATCTATGCTTTGCAGAATTCTGTTCACTCGAAAAAGTGGTTATAACGTTCTGATTTTAAGAAAAGAAAGAACATAAATATGGCGGATATGTACGAAAATCTTTCAGTTTTATTAGTCTGGAAGAAATTTCTCTGTAGGATTTGTCAATAAATTTGGGGAGGGGGTGTTGTTACCAGTCATTGCTAATAGACTGGAACCAACAGCTCTTACCAAAAATGAAAGATCAGTTATCATAGCCCTTATCAAAAAAGAAAAAAAAAAGGTAAAAATGGGGAACAAAAGAAAAGATCAACTTGATAGGTTTCAACTATGGGGATATAAATTGGCTTACGATTGCAGGTTTACTTATCGAAAGACCTCCTTTACGTACCGTCCATGACCAAGATTGAACCCTTGATGACCAATATATATTTAGACGTCAAAGAGATAAAAATAATTCTAAATGTAATGGTAATATTATCTATTTCCTCATATCAAGACATTTGATTCCTTGAACGAGTGCTACTGATTATTGAAATTTATAAACCCTTTCTCTTTAAACAATTTTTCCTTTTGTTTGAAGTAGTGTGGAACATCAGCATTTTGAGTACGTCATTATTTTTCTCCGAGTTACGTGTACTATCCATTTTAGTTGCCACTGTTATTGAAAGTCCTCAACTGAAGGGAATTCTGTTATCCTTTTGATTCTGTAGCGCCAATCTACGACGTTCAATGAAGGATGGACCTGGAAACCTACACGCTTCATAAGTTTGACGCCATTTTTAACCATAGAATTCGAGAAAGCGTATACAGCTGATTTGAGATACGTCTGCAAAAGAATGGCGCCATGCATGGCACTCGTTTAAAGGTTTCTATCTGACGGGACTATATAATAAAAAAGTGTTTTCAGGTTGATTTTTTGGTTGTGTAGCAATTTGCGGTTTTGGGCAAAACTATCTCTAGCGTAGCCTATTCTGTATTCTATTTCTTTATCAGCTTAACTAATATTTTACACTATTGCTCATCCAATACAAGGCCCGCGTGTCACTGAAAGTAGAGCTTACTAAATACGGTTTTTATGGACTTAAGAGGAGGAGGCAAGAAGTGAGAATTACAAGATGAACCTTACTATATATATATATATATATATATATATATATATATATATATATATATGTATTAATTACACCCTTCAAGATGATCTTGGGAAAAGATCGAAAGTACTTGCGAAAAGAAAATGACAAATATTTAGACAACTATGGCGCATTTCTCTCAGCCTTTAACATCAATACACGACGCTTTATTCGTGTGTATGAACTGCTTTTGTTAAAAATTAGCAGACATAATGTCTGTAATTTATTCAGATATGCCTAAAAGCGAATTTGCTGCCTAAATACACAAATATACATACATACATATATATATATATATATATATATATATATATATATATATATATATATATATATATATATATATATATATGTGTGTGTATTTGGTTGGATAGATGTGAGTTTGTGACTTTGAGTTTCACACTTTAACGATCGTACGATCACTATATGTTAGCTTTATCTCTGATATTGAGCGCTTTCTAATAAGTACCGCGCATATAATATATAAATAATTATACATATATATATTTATTTATATACACTTTTCACATATATATATATATGTATATATTCTAATTATTTTTTTAAAATATGATTCCATCACTACATATGTATGTAGCGATGGAATCATATTTAAAAAAAGATAATTATAATAGAGGCTCTACTTTTGTATCGGGCACTGTTTTTTTTTTTTAAATAAAAACAAAAATACTAAAGAACTTTGAATTATCAACCTAACGGTTCTTTCCTATTTTTGTATACTCACACACACATACACACACACAAACACACAGACAGACACACACACACACACACACACACACACACACACACACACATATATATATATATATATATATATATATATATATATTTGGTTGGATAGATGTGAGTTTGTGACCTTGGGTTTCACGCTTTAGCGATCGTCAGACAAACTGATTAATATAGACATAACACCACCCGTATACATACATGTGTCATAGCCGAAACTGTCTACATATGTTTATATATATGTATGAGTCCCGACGGACGACCAAGTATGTATATGTATATGTGTCTGCATACATCGATGTTTGCGTTAGTACGATGAATGACAAAACGACGAATTTCCCCACCACTTCCACAATAACACCAATACACGCAATCTACATAAACCCAAATTTTTAAAACATTAATCAGTTTGTCTGACGATCGCTAAAGCGTGAAACCCAGGGTTAAAAAAAATCACATCTATCCAACCAAATATGTTAGCTCTATCTCTGATATTGAGCGCTTTCTAATAAGTACCGCGCATAATATATAAATAATTATACATATATATATATTTATTTATATTTATATTCACTTTTTCACACACACATATATATATATATATATATATATATATATATATATATATATATATATATATGTGTGTGTGTGTGTGTGTGTAAAAAATTGCAATATTTATTACATGAAGATTGCTCAATATCGAAGATATAGTGTTTAAATGTATACGAATAAATAACGCCATCTTCAGGTTTAGTCAAGTAAAAGGCTTGCACAGAACTGTTTCTAGCCTTTCTTCGAGTATACCTGTCTCCGAGCGCGGCTAGCAGTCCTGGTTGGAGAGGCATACAGAATCCACTTGTGATTTAGACTGCCACTAAGCTTCGCGGGAGAGAGCGTATCATCTGTGGTGATCCAGTGTTTGGTCAAGGCTATTAGGATCAAACGCTCGAAGAGTTTGGTATAACGAAGCGACCGACGAAATGTTCCATTTACCAACTTCACTGACAAAGCTTGGTAGAACACGTTGTATGTTTATCAAGTATATCGCACGCTGGGATCGCCTCACCATGCCGATAACATCGTCGAATGGTGAGATTGAAACTTATGTCACCTGGTCGCTTCCGCACCCATAACGGACACATTAAAATCTCTACTAAGCAATCCATACAGTTTTGATTCCACATTATCTATCTATCTATCTATCTATCTATCTATCTCAGTCTATTCGTATCTACCTATCTATCTATTTTTTTTTCTTTTCACTTAAATTTCACCTTCATTTTTATTTGTATCTCTCTATCTATCCCAGTCTATTCGTATCTATCTATCTATCTATCTATCTATCTATCTATCTATCTATCTATCTATCTATCTCAGTTTATTCGTATGTATGTATGCATCTATTTGTGCATCTATCTCAGTTTATTCGTATGCATATTTCTAACTATCTTCAGTTTGTTCATATCTATCTACCCCTTTTCGTTCTTTTCATATCTATCTTCAGTTTCTATATCTATCTTCCCCCTGTCTGTGGGTCTCTCTCTCTCTCTCTTTATATATATATATATATATATATATATATATATATATATATATATATATATATATATATATATATATATGATTTGTGCGTGTGCGATTGTGTTATGGGCAGAATAAAATCACAACTAAAGCATCCTTGGGCGTTATTTACAAAACTCTCTTACTCATACTGACACACACATGTATCTATATACCTGTAAGCATCAAACTTAAAATATACCTGGCTGTACCTATACATTTAGGCTGTCTAAAATAGATTGATTGCTTTATTGATTCCCTTCTTGATATATACATATGTAAAGTCATAAATTGATAGATAAATACATAGCAATAATTTTGGAGAGTTATGTAAGTGTGCGTTTTCGACTTTTTTTTAAAAAAATAAATATTTTCGATATAGAAGCAAATATCTTAAAGGAATGAAACGCGTTTAATTTGTTGTTCCACTGTGGAATACAAAAATAAATTCTAGTCTTGTACTTTCTTTCTTTATTAATTCTTTTCTTTTACTTGTTTTTTTAAATATCTTTTCTTTTTTTATTTTGCTTTCTGATTTCAACGATCGGCACCAGAAGCGTTATTTTATTTTATTTATTTTTTATTTTATTTATTTTTTATATTTCTTATTTTATTTTATTTTTGGAGGGAATACGTGATGAGTGCGTGGAGGTTGAAGCAATTAGAACGATTCTTGTCCAAATTTAAAAAGGGTTTTTTTTTTCTTTTCACTTAAATTTCAGCTTCATTTTTTATTTTTATTTATATCTCAGGCCTCTCTCTCTCTTTCTCTCTATTTATCTCCCTCTTTGACACATACAGCCACACACATGCATATGCACTCTTTGTCTTTCTCTAGTTTTACCTCACTCCCTTTGACACGCAAGTTTACGCGCTCATACATATACACACACTCATTCTTTCTAATTGAAAAATACTTTGAAGGTGCAAAACCGTTTGAGTTTCAGTTTGAAAGCCTAAACGACATCATTAACAACAGCAAGAGATATAGCACTATGATTAGCGCAAGAATTCAGAATCACCGAGGCTGTCGTCTTTGGTGAGATATCGAAATATTGCAAGAAATTCTTATCATAATTATTTTTAGTATTGCGTTCAGGTAACGGTATATAAAATACTGCTTTCTCTATATGAAATCTTTGCAGGATAATTAACAATAAGCGGTTAGGCTGTTCGATTTCTAACCACGAGACATGGGTTGGAATATAACCATGGTCGATTTGATTGTCGACCTGACTTTTTGATGTTACCGACCTGGGGAATATGCCTGAAAAGCAGTCGACGAGTTAAACCAAAACTGAGCGAAATTGAGTTGATGGAAACGTTTGGAAGATGAGGATAGCTGTGTTAGCCCGAAATTACAAGTCATCGTGACCGAGAATTTAAGCGATTTGTGCTTTGTTAAAGAAATTGATGACTTAGGGCCATATCACGTTGAAACACCAGTTCTCTTACGATCACCGAAGTTAAGCAATGTTGAGCTTAGTTAGTACCTAGATGGGTGACCGCCTGGGAATATCAGATGCTGTAAGCTTGGATATGCGGATGGCGTAATCGATAACGACTCAAAATTGGAAATCGAAGTGCTGCGTTTCAATTCTGGTAGTTAAATCCACTTACTCGCAAATACGATTGGGAAAGGTATGAATCCACCTCTTCTCCCCCAGCTATGGATTAAATAGTAGGAGTTGTATCAGTAAATCATTATTACAATACGAAAATACTTTCTGGATTTATATAACCTATAACCATGTTGATAAGAAGTAAAAAACGAATCAGTTAAGAAATTCGATCACACCACAATGTGCGTTCTCTCCTAGAAGCTGTAACTAATATCCATTCATATAGTTGCGGTATAAACCACAGATGTGCTCTGTAGATTGAGCAGGTGTGTGTAATATGGTTTGTCTAGCTGCGCTGGGAGATGGGTGTGCTCGGAAGACGAGTCCTGGCATCCATTCTTATTTAATAAAATACCTGACGGCGTAATATTTAACGCCATGACCAGGAATAAGTACAGATGAAAGGCTTTCAATCATGCCAAATTCTTAGGGTATTTTCTAATTGTTAAAAAAATGTATACTTTTCGCGGAACAAGACGAGTATACTCTAAATCATCTCCGGGCAAAAAACCTAATACAATAGATTACAATATTGTTTAACAACAACGAAGAGCTCAAATACTTCGTTGCGGAAAAATAAAAGTATTATGATCTAATGTATTATCCTTAATATCTCGAACATATCAAGAAAATGTCCTATTATTTGGATGTCATGTTAATATGGGTTAAGGCATGATACGAAAAAAAATCAGCACCAGCAGAACGAAGAATTATTGGCTAGTACTAATTACGAACAAGACGAAATATTCTTAGATATTCATATCTGACCAGAATAATCTAATGCCAATAATGGTTGCAATTCATAATTCTGTGAAGGATACGCTGTTTAATAGCTACCTGAAGAAGGCCATAAACCACAACGGCCCAAACAGTGTAATAATAACTAAAAGACGAGAATATTAGTCCGAAGTTAGATACAATATTGCAACGAAAATGGTGATACAACATTTTGTCACAAAGGCAGAAAATAAGTAACTACTTATACCGATGTTCGGGTGTCAAACACTGGACGTATGGATATATGTTTTCCGCCAGGTGTATAAATGGCGGTGTCAGGCTAGTGACTGCAGTGATTATTGCGTGGAACTATCCAGTCGAATTAGTGTGAATTATTTTGCGTCGATGATTTGGGTTTTGATTTAGGTCGTTAAGCCGAGCCGAGCTGCTAACAAGGTATTCACTGAAATGGTTAATTATCTTTGGTTGACTTTTACTTCCTTGTTATTGTTAAGTATTTATTTGCGGTTGTAATTAAATACTGTTTTAGCTTAACATTGAAGTCTTGAGTTATACTAAATTATTAACGACAACCGTACGTCAAAAAAAACATTTAGAGCTTGGGCACGCCACGCCACGTCCACGTAGATAAATCATCCATATTTCCCCCGTATTCCTTTTGTAAGTTTGAAGTTCCACTCAAACAGCTTTTTCCCCGAGAATCTGTGTCGCCATATTTATTACAACGTGAGTGTGAGTTCAATACACAGTTAAGGCAGTGGAGAACTTTCAGAGGGAAATTAACAGGAGATAACTGATAACTGACATCCATTAAACATGGCACGTGGAACGAGAACAGTCTACCCCAGTGAGCGAAATAAAGGGTTCAGTTCGACAATCAAACCATGTGAAGAATGCCGGAGCGTACAACGGCCGAGAGGTTGTGATAAATATGGCGACAAAGATGAGGACAATAGTCCGAATAATGTAAATAATGTACCTAATACCTCATCTCAGAAATATAGACAGGTCATATGTTAATTAAAGCAAAAGGCAGGAAGATATGGAGATCCCTAATTTTTCACGGCCTGAAAAGTTTTGATACATGAATGGAAAGTAACGAAAATAAACGTTTTTAATACAAAATGATTCTGTTATTACGCGCATCGTAGCGCTGATAATATAAATGATGCTTCGGGAGTGAGGCCTATATTAATTAGTCAGAAGTCTGGTATTTGATCAATCCTCCCCTCAAAGAGAAATGTGTCACAAGACCGATTTTTACGTTGGATGATATCCAAGCCCATAGTCTCAGGCAAAAATTATCTGTAGACTCCGCATACACGGGGTCATAGACATGTCTGGGTTCCTCACTGCCCGAGAAGAGAGTGTTCAACAAGCCAGTCACTAGCCTGGTAGCGAACTGCCTGACTCCAAACGGCTGGTATTTACCAAAACTCCCCACAAGGCAGAATGTGGGTCAATTCCAAGCCCGTAGGCTCGTGAAAAAAATTGCCTGTGGACCCCGCATAAACGTAGTGCGGTTTTTCTACCACTCCAGACGAGACTCTGCCCGTAGGCAGAGAGTTCAACAAGCCTGTCGCAAGCCCAGTAGCGAACTGCCTAACTGCAAACGGCTTCAGGCATTTAACCAAACCTCCCCACAATGCGGGACGTGGCACAAGGCTGGATTTTGCGTGGGGTGATTCCGCGTCCGTAGGTTCGGTTAAAAATTCCCCGTAGACCCCGCATAGACGAAGTCGGGTATGTCTACCTCCAGAGGTGAGATTCTGCCCGTAGTGATAGCCCAGTCTGGGTACCTCTTTGCCTGATGATAGCGTGTTCGATAAACCTGTCGCGAGTCTGCCAGCGAACTGCCTGACTCTATATGGCTTCTGATATTTACCCAAGCCTCCCCGCAAGGCGGATGTGTCACAAGGCCGGTTGTGTCACAAGGCCGGTTTTTGTAGGGCGTTTCCGAGCCCGTAGTCTAGGGTAAAAATCCCCTTAGACCACGCAAAGATTAAGCCGGGTTTGTGTACCTTCCCACATGAGACTCCGTAGTATGGGTTCCGCTTTGCCCGAAATCAGAGAGTTCAACTAGCCGGTCATGAGTCTCGCAGCGAACTGTCTGACTCCATATGGCTTCTGATATTTACCCCAGCCTCCCTACAATGCGGGACGTGGCACAAGGCTAGCATTTGCGTGGGGTGATTCCGCGTCTGTAGGCTCGAGCAAAAATTCCCCTTAGACGTCGATAGACCAAATCGGGTTTGTGTCATTCCCCATATGAGACTCTACCCGTAGGCATAGACTCGTCTGGATTCCTCTTTGCCCGAAGTTAGAGTGTTCGACAAGCCTGCTATGAACCTGGCAGCGAACTGCCTAACTCCATAAGGCTTCTGATATTTGCCTAAGCTTCCTCTCAAGGTGGATGTATCACAAGGCAGGTTTTTATGTAGGGCGATTCCAAGCTCGTAGGCTCGGGCACAGAATCCCTTTAGACCCCGCATATACCAAATCGGGTTTGTGTACCTTCCCATATGAGACTCTGCCCGTAGGTATAGCCCTGTCTGGGTTCCTCTTTGCTCAGAGGTAGAATGTTCGACAAGCCTGGCACAAGCCTGGCAGCGAACTGCCTGATTCAAACGGCTTTTCTTCTTTCTGCCATGGACGTATTTATTTATAGTGATGAACCAGTTCATTTTGTAAGCGGGAGTGTAATATTCACACCACAACAGATTTATAAAAAAAAAACAAAAAAAAAAACAAAGTAGTGTTCTGATTAATAGGAAAAGTCTCCATCATGGCTCTCCACTACTTCCACATCTTGTGTTTTAAGCAAATTTGAACTTCTTTTCATCCCTCCTTGTCTCTTCTGTGACATCTGTTTACACAAACTAATGAGGTAATTTATCAATTGCATACCTTACTTATTGAGTAGTTCCTGGAAACCAAGAAAGTCAGATAAGGCTTAGTAGGTTCCAAAATTCCTGAGTTCCTACAGTGCGGGGGCACTTATGTTTCTCTGGAATTTCCTACTCTTTGTAGATCATAGCAACCTTTGTCTTTTTACTATCCTTCTTAGGGCATGTTCTACAGACCATTTACACAAAATCTCGTTAGGTGAAGTCAAGAGTTTGGAACCATCTTCTTGAATTCGATCAATCGCCCCAAGTTGCCTGCTTTTTCCTAAACTTATTTAATAGCTCATATCGGAACAAAGTTACGTTCTCTACCTGAACAGATTTATTAGATATTCAGTAATAAAAAAAAAGCAATAATAAACAACCTAACTCATTGCTTCATAAATTGCCCGAAAAAAAAACTCTTGTTGGCTAAACTAGCTACCTGGTTAATGATAAACTTAGCGGTGGCTGATTTTAAATTTTAAGTAACCTCCTCTCTACGAAATAAAAAAAAAGAATTTTTTCCTAATGTTATATAAACGCAACTATTTTGAATAATTCCGTTTCGCTATAAATTGAACAGAGATCAAATTTTCCATTAATTGGAATCGAGACTTGACTCTTAAATATTGCATTGTTCCGTGTCTATTTTTCTTTACAGAAACGTCTGCAGCAATTGGTCATTCCAGACGGAATCGGCGATGATGATTTTGAGTTGAATCGACCAAGCGTTTTACAGAACATTAATCAATATTTTTTTAAAATTTTTCTTAATATTATACAACGCTTTCCTACATTATTTACATTATTCGGACTATTGTCCTCCTGTTTGTCGCCATATTCATTACAACGTTTCGGCCGTTGTACGCTCCGGCCTTCTTCAGGAAGTTCGAATGTCGAACTGAACCCTTTATTTCGCTCACTGGGATAGTTCCACGTGCCATGTTTAATGGATGTCAGTTATCAGTTATCTCCTGCTAATTTCCCTCTGAAAGTTCTCCACTGCCTTAACCGGGTATTGAACTCACACTCTTTGGGTTCTGTCACTGGATCTAACCAACGCTTTTATCTTCTGTGCCATGTGTCCCTGAGGACATGGCACGTGAAACTAGAACATTACATCTTAATGACTCTTCATGTTAAAGTCGCTTGCTCGTTTCTGTTTAGCAGTATATCAACCTCTTTTTGGTTATTTTATACCGAAATCTAAATATTTTGTACGCATATTTATTTTATTCTTCTTCCTTATAATAATTTTTGTGATACAAATTTTACTAATTAACC